TCTTAATAAAGCTGGTGTTAGATCTAGCTTCGTAGTTTACTTCTTAGCTTCTTTTCTTCGTTCGTAGCTATTCCAGCTATATTCCTTGTTGTTGTCTTCGATTTTAGAATCTCGTGGTAGGTTCCTTTTTGCATCTTTGCTAGAATTTGTCTGTTAACTGTCTCACTTGTGCTCTCCAGATTTCATCTCAGAGCTGGTGTGCTGAAGCTCATTATCCTGTGGTCGTCGACAAGGAGTTCCTGAGTATTGCAGCAATGGCTGAGGAGCTTGAGGAAGTGATGAGGAAATTTGACTTATCGGAAAAAGAGGAGGCTGGAATTCAAATTGCGGGGGACGATATTTTCCAGGGAGTGGCGGAATGCAAAATGAGCATTATTGGCAAAGTGATTGGTGAGAAGGTGGCAAATATCACAGGTATTAAGAGTTTTACTAGTAATATTTGGATTTTTGCTAAGAATGTAAAGGTTGTAGAAATTGGTGTGAATCTGTTTCAGTTTATTTTCATGAACCAACATGATATGGATAGAGTATTGAGTGGGAGGCCATAGGTTTATGATAACTCACCTTTGGTTGTCATTCCTTGAAGGGAAGGAATAGAGATGGATGGTATGGCTTTTAACAAAACATGGATTTGGGTGCAGATCTGGAACCTCCCAATCCATTGGATAACTAAAGAGATTGGTCGTAAGATTGGAGGAGTCTTTGACTCAGTTAAGGAGGTTATAATTCCTAATGGTGGGGAGAAAGAAGGAAAACACATTAAGATCCTAGTGGAAGTGGATATTGAGAAACCACTATTGAGGGGGACTAAGGTCAGGATGAATGGTAATACGAAATGGATTGAGTTTAGGTACGAGAAATGTCTTGATTTATGCTACTTTTTGGGTTATTGGGGCATAATGAGAGAACTGTAAGAATAAAAGGAACTATCTAGACAAGGATACACAATTTGGAGCTTGGATGAGAGCTAGTACCTCTAGGAGCCCAAAAAAACAGAATAAAACTTACTCGAATTATGATGAGAGAGCTGGGGAGGCACAGAGGAACAATGGAAAGGAGAATGAGGGTAATAACCTATTCTTGACATGGGGAGAAATGAAAACAGCTGGAATGGGTAGAAGGGGAAAGGAAATGCTGGTAATATAATAACTAGTGGAATCATTCCCAAAGGGAGAGATGTGGGACATAGGGCTAGTGGTAGTATAGAGGAAGAAGGAATGGTTGAGAAGGTTAAGGGGTCTGATGCCTAACTGAACCTGGTTCGGGAGAAGTCTGGATCCAACTTAGAAGGGAAAGGGGAACAGAATTATGGGGATGGGAGGCTAGATTAGACTGGAAAAGTGGAAGATGATAATATGTGGATTGATGAGGGCCTAGTTGAGGAAAAGATTAGTAGGGGCAGGGGGAGAGGGATAGGGAAAGGTCAGGAAGCTGGAAACTTGGGTAAGAATAAGCAGTCTGGGAAATATAAGGGCAGTAGGGGGTTGAAGAGGTTGGTTCAGGAAGTGGGAAGAAGAGTACCATTGAAAGATAAAAATTCTAGAATAGAGGTAGAGGAGTCTGGGAAGAGGAAGTAGGGGAATACTCATGGAAAAGAGAACTATGGGGAGTCAGAGGAAGGAGATCAGAAAAAATTGAAGGGGATGGAAGGGGGGAAACAGAGAGCGTTTTCTGAAGGTGGTGGAGCCCAACCTTAATGGGGCTCCCAGCCCTCAATGAGAGCTGTGGTGTGGAACTTTCGAGATGCTGGGAGCCCCTTGACAGTTTCCCAACTTGAGGAGGTTGTGAGACTCCACTCCCCTGAGTTAGTTTTCTTGGCTGAAACTAAAAATAAAAAATATGTTATGAATAAGATTAGGATGAGACTTAGATATGATAATCTTTTTGTTGTTGACCCTATAGGTAGAGCTGGTGGTCTGGCTGTAGTATGGAGAAAGGATTTGGTAGTTAAAAGGGTTCTTTCCACTGAGTTTACAATAGAATTGAATGTGGAAAGAAAGGGTACTGAGAAAGATTGGTGGTTTGTTGGGGTATATGCTAGTAGTAATGATCAAATAAGAGAGCAACAGTGAAAAACCATAGAACATAGAACTGCTATATGGGGTAGCAATTGGATCTTGGCAGGTGACATGAATGATCTGCTGTCCAGTGGGGAAAAATGGGGGGGGGAAGCTGAGGAGTGATAGAAGCTTTAAAGTCTTTAGGAACTTCGTCAATGATAATCAACTGATAGATATTGGTTTTGAAGAGATTCCCTGAACTTGGTGTAATAATTGGGATGAAGAGGGGGAGGTTAAGGAAAGACTTGATAGGATTCTGTGTAGTAGGGACTGGAGCAGAGATCATGGTAAAGCTAAGTGTGTGCACATTCATAATGAGGCCTCTGACCACTGTATGCTGTTGTTGGATACTGAGCCAAAGACAAGAAATGAAAAAAGAGATTCTACTTTGATAAGAATTGGGTGCAGCATAAGGAGGTTAAGGATATTATCTCAACAGCTTGGGAGAAACAACAGATGGGGTCTAGGGGGTTCAGGTTAAAACAGAGAATTAAAGAGTGTAGGATGGCCCTGTTACAGTAGAACAAGCAATGTAAAGCCAATGCTAAAACACAGATTAGTAGGATAAAGAAGGAAATAGCAAAGGTTCATATGGGACAGCAGGCTGATAAAAAAGGGAGATTGAGTGCTCTTGAGAGACAACTGACTGAGGCTTACAAGAAGGAAGAAACTTATTGGGGGCAAAACACTAAAGTACAATGGTTGAAGGAGGAGGATAGGAACACTAAGTATTTTCATGCTATGATAGAAGAGAAAAGGAGAAGGAACAATATATCTATCCTACAAAGAGGGGATGGTACTTGGTGTAAGTCTGAGGGGGAGGTTGAAGGGGAGATTAATGAGTATTTCAGGAAAGTCTTCACTTCTAATAATCCAAGGCAGTTTGATGCAATACTCAGTGGTATTCCTCGGATGATCACAGGACAGATGAATAACAAGCTCACCAAACCAGTATCTGAGATGGAAGTCAGGAAATCAGTGTTATTTTTGCATCCCAATAAAGCTCCTGGACTTGATGGTATGACACCTTTCTTTTTTTCAGCATTTCTGGGATATCATTAAAACTGATCTTATAGCAGCTATTTCTAACTTCTTCTATTCTGGTCATTTATTGAAAGCTATTAATGAGACTATCATCACTCTGATTCCTAAAGTTGGATCTCCCATTTCTGTGTCCCAATATAGACCTATTAGCCTATACAATGTTGTTTATAGGATTATTTCTAAGGTTCTTGTGAATAGGTTAAAGTCTTTTCTTAAGCACTGCATCAGTAGTAATCAGTCAGCTTTCATTCCTGACAGGCAAATTATTGATAATATTGTGGTTGCTCATGAAAGTATTCATTGTTTAAATCAAAGAAGAACAGGATCTAATGAGTTTATGGTTCTAAAACTAAATATGGCTAAAGGGTAGAGTGGCCTTTTGTGGTCAAAATACTAGAAAAAATAGGATTTTGTCAGCTTTGGATAAATTGGATTTTCAAATACATGTCATATGTTGTGTACTCTTTTAATGTAAATAGTGAAAAAAATGGTCTGGCTAGGCCATCTAGAGGGATAAGGCAAGGGAATCCACTATCCCCATACCTCTTTGTGCTTGTTTCTGAAGGGCTATCTTGCCTGTTAAAACAGGCAGTCAACAACCACTGCTTGTCAGGTTTAAAGATTGCTAAAGCTAGCCCTGCTATTTCACACCTGTTTTTTGCAGATGACACTCTCCTATTTTGTAGAGCCAGTTTAGAAGAGGCTAGACAGGTGATGAGAATCTTGGAGACTTATGAAGCAGTTTCTGGACAGAAGATCAACACTGATAAATCTTCTGTTTTCTTTAGTAAGAATACAGAAGAGTGTAAAAAGGCATAAATTCTGAGAATACTGGAAGGGATGAAATAAGTGGATCATAGTAGGTATCTGGGGTTACCTATGGTTATTGGCAAATCCAAAAGATAAGTATTCAACTATATCAAGGTCAGGGTGTTGGAGAAGCTCAAAGGCTGGAAAGAAAAATTGTTGAGCCAAACTGGAAAGGAGGTACTGTTGAAGTCTGTGATAGTAGCTATGCCTGCATATGCTATGAATTGCTGTAGGTTACCCAAGAGCTTATATCAGGAAATATGTAGTGAAATGGCAAGGTTTTGGTGGGGGAAGAGTGAAGGGAGGAGAAAGACTCACTGGATGGAATGAGGGAAGTTGGCTGCAGTAAAAGGGAAAGGGGGCTTAGATTTTAGAGATTTGCAGGATTTCAACAGTGCCATGCTGGCTAAGATGTTATGGAGGGTTCTGACACAGCCAAACCTGCTGATGAGCAAGGTGTTGAGGGAAAAATACTTTAAAAGGGAGTCCATTTGGCAGACACAGATGAGGGCATGAGACTCTTGGATATGGAAGAGTCTTTTGAGTGCAAGAGAGGTGCTGGAGAGAGGAGCTAGAAAGAAGGTAGGGGATGGTCGAACAGTTCATATCTGGAAGGATAGGTGGTTATCAGATGGAGGGTCAGGTATGGTGGCCACTCAAAAGCCAGCAAATTGTTCTGTCCAGAGAGTTTATGAACTGATCCAAAATGAAGAGTGGAACACAGCAGTGATGGAAACTATTCTTAGTAAGGAGGATTGCAGGAAGATAGAAGGAATCCCTATCAGTCTATGTGCAGGAAAAGATAAGCTGGTGTGGCCATTCACTAAAACTGGACAGTATTCAGTTAAGAGTGGTTACATGCTGGCTAGAGATATGAGAGGGAAATGGAGGAGCAAGGAATAGCAAGAAGCCAGCAATAGCAGGAATATACCTTATTCTAAAGTCTGGAAGGTGTTATGGAACTTAGAAATAAAACATAAATTGAAACACTTTCTCTGGAAGTGCTTGCATGGTGTCCTACCAGTCAATGAGGTGATCAGAAGGAGAATAGGTAAAGGAGAGGATAGATGCAGGTGTTGTGGGGAGATGACAGAAACATTGAAGCACATGTTCCTCTTTTGTAGTCATGCAGAGTTTATATGGAATACAACTTCAATTGATTGGGATGGATTAAAGAAGTATAGGTACAGTTTCTGGCACTGGCGGAATAGCATGATGAAGGTACAGAATAGGAAGGAAGGGAGGAGCCACATTGCTTTGACAGTGAATATATTATGGCAGATTTGGAAATCCAGGAACCAAGTGCAGTTTAATGAGGTGAGGAACTGTCCAGGAAGAACAGCAAGTAAAGCTGTGAATGAGTTGTCAGAGTATCAAGAAGTGAGATATGGGGAAGTTAAAGTTGCAGAGCAGGGGAAAACACAGGTGGCTGAGAGTAGTAAATGGGTTCCACCCCCACAGGGTTTTATCAAACTGAATACTGATGTAGCTTTGGAGGTAAAAGATGGCAGAATAGGCTGGGGCGTTGTAGCCAGAAGAGAGGATGGCAGGGTTGTAGGAGCTTGGGCAGGAGGTGAAAGAAGGAATGGAATCCCAGCAGTAGAGGAGGCCTTAGCTATCAGGAAAGCTATCATCAAGGCTAGACAGTACAGATGGCACAAAGTAGAAATACAATCTGATTCCAAACAAATGGTGGATAAGCTCAAGGATAGGAATGTGGATGATCCAGTCGCAGGGACCATCTTGAATGATGTAATGACTTTATGTCAAGGTTTTAGTGAATGTTACTTCTCTTTTTGTTAAAAGAGGTGGTAATAGTGTGTCTCATAAGCTGGCAAAAATTGCCATTAGCTTGTCTGAGGAAATTAGTTGGAAGGAGTCTTTTCCAATCTGGCTTACTAGTTTAGCCAAAAATGATGTAGGAGCAGTTGCTCCAACAGTGTAATCCTTACGTTGCAATGAAGTCTGTCGTCGTTTGGGAAAAAAAAAAAAAGAAAATATTCGTGTGCCTCATGTTGAATCTACCAAGCCCGATCCATCAACTAACTTTCATCCGTCTAGACTAAGCTTCACCAATCAACAAAAGAAGCCCATGACACTTTCAGCCCAGCCCAATGTCTTCATTTCAGGAAAACATATCCGCTCTGACTTTACTCTACTGTATAAATTTGCAAAGAAAAGAAACCCTAAACCTCTCCAGAAGCATATTCGCTCTTTTCTACGCGTCTCCCGATCGGAGCTCACGGCCATTTCTCCGCTCCATGTAATTTCTCTTTCTTTTTAAATTCTTGGGTGTGGATACTATACTTTTCTTTTTCATGGAATTCTCTTAAAATATTGGGTTTTGATTTTTTTTTTTTTCATTTCTTCTCTGAAGTATTGAAGGAGAAGTATATTCATTTGTGCAGCCATGGCTCTGGTAAGTTGAGATCCGATCTCATTTTTTTTCTTTCTATAATTTCTGTTTCGTTATGGATCTGGATTCTCGCTGTTAAAATTTTGATTTTCTTTTGAATATGGATTCGTCAATTTTTGTGAATTTTACTGTGTAATTTTCTAATTGTTCTGTCTAAGCAATGCATGCCCATATCTTTGTGATGATTGCGTCAAGAAAGCTGATAAACTAGGATCAATTTGGGATTGTGCATGTGGGGACTTTTGGGTTTTCAGTTCAGTAACAAATTATTCTTTTATTTCTTTGCCTTGTGGAATCTCTGGTTGGCTTTGATGCTTGGGATGATTGATAGGGTTTTCATTATTTTCTATTATGTGGATTTTAAACATTGGATTTGGTATGTATTTTCAGTTTAGCAAAAAAGACTTGATTTATTGCTTGATTTGTGATTTTCAGATCCTGCATGCGACGAGCAATAATAAGAATGCTCTCAAGGCACTAATTGCGGCAGAATACAGTGATGTTAAAGTGGAACTAACTAAGGATTTTCAGATGGGAGTATCCAATAAGACTCCCGAGTTCCTCAAGATGAACCCAATTGGAAAGGTAACCTATTTCAGCGTGTCAGAGGAAGAAATTTGCAACTGTCTAGTGTTTTACATGTTGCTCTGTTATCTGGGTGGTTTTAGCTAAGGATGTGTTTGTTGAACAGGTTCCTGTGCTTGAAACTCCTGATGGTCCTTTATTTGAGAGTAATGCCATTGCCCGTTATGGTAGGTTTCTTCACTTAATTTTGGTTTTTCATCTTGACGTACTGCACTGAGAATTTGACTTAACATTTATCCTCCCGCCTACTTGTGGCAGTTACAAAGTTGAAGGCTAATAATCCACTCTTTGGCTCATCTTTGATTGAATATGTAAGCAACATTGTCTTAAAATAGCAATCATGTATCCCTTGTGCTCTATCTGAAATTAAGCTTCTTTTGTGTGTTTTACGTAATTGAGTTGTGTTCTTAGGCCCGCATTGAGCAATGGATCGACTTTGCTACCACTGAGATTGATGTCCATTTGGGTCGTTGGTTGTACCCACGACTGGGTTTTATGGTTCACCTCCCTCCGGTATCTCTAATCTATCTCTTCGTCTCTTTTTTTCTCACTTTTTCCATTTAGACCTCTGCATATATTTTCTATCTGTAAAATGGTTCTAGAATATTTGAGTGGTAACTTTCCATGTTAAACTTTTTGGGAATGAAGGCTGAGGAAGCTGCAATTGCTTCTCTGAAGAGAGCTCTTGGACCATTGAATGCTCATCTTGCCTCTAACACTTACTTGGTTGGAGATTTTGTCACTCTGGCAGACATAATTACAATATGCAACCTGTATCTGGGATATAAAACTGTCATGACGAAGAGCTTTACCTCAGAATTTCCCCATGTTGAGAGATACTTCTGGACCTTGGTGAATCAGCCAAAGTTTCACAAGATTTTGGGCGACGTGAATCAAACAGATTCCGTTCCACCTGTTCCATCCAAAAAACCTGCACAGCCAAAAGAACCAAAACCAAAGGCAAAGGAAGAACCCAAGGAGGCCAAGAAAGAGGCAAAGAAAGAAGCCCCCAAGCCTAAAGAGGATGATCTTGATGAAGAAGAAGCACCCAAGCCAAAACCAAAAAATCCTCTAGATCTTTTGCCACCTAGCAAGATGATACTAGATGAATGGAAGAGGCTTTATTCAAACACCAAGACTAACTTCCGTGAAGTCGCAATTAAGGGTAACTTTCTCCACTCTTTCTCCATTTACATGGATTGTTTGAATACGGTGATGGAAAATGTTGAAGAGAACTATACACTGTGTGATAGATAGGCGTTCTATCCTTCTGCAGAAGGAAGTATGTTCCTATAAAAGTGTTTACACTCAGGAGGTAGATTGACAGCTATGTGGTACCCCAAATAATTATTATTGCATCAGAATTGAGGATAATAAATTAGAACTAATCTAAATATTGAATGATGATGATTGATGTATTTAATTTTGGAAAGTATAGAATGAGCATCATATCCAACAAGTATGGTCCTTGACGCTTGTATTAATTCTGTATAGTTTTATTTTTGTGGTCACACTTTGTTACAAATTGTAAATATCATTTCGTTGTTAAACTTGTACTTCGATAGCTCCTTTACTTGAGGATGAAAACTATCTTGTTATTGGTGTCTTATATTTTTGTAAAGAAGGTGTCTGGTCTGATCTTCTACGTATTGGCTACTTTGAAAGTTAATTCATGTTTGAGTCATTTATAGTTGGCTGCTTCCAAAGTTGATTTATGTTTGAATCTTTATAGCGCAGGTGATGTATTTTTTTCTGGATGGCTTAGTCTTTTGCCAGCATGAAGCAACAGTTATTAGCACATAAATGTTTCTATATAAACTTGCTAGTGAGTGATCAGATTTTGGCAAGCAGTAGTTGATTTTTAGTATTAGAATCCACAAACTGAATCTTCAAGCTGTCAGATTTTGGCAAGCAGTAGTTGATTTTTAGTATTAGAATCCACAAACTGAATCTTCAAGCTGCAGTCTTATGATCTTGATAGAATATTTGACATTTTATTGTTGTTTTTGGTTTTTGGGGTTTATTTTGGGGAGGGTTTATCTATATGTATTTTCAGGTTGTAGGGAGGCAAAAGAAAATTTGTCCTTTCATTTGCTTCTGATGCTTGTTATCCTTTTTGGGTAGTTTCATGGGAGAATTTTGGGAAGAGATTACAAGGATAGAAATTGGAAATATTGCTAGCAATTTGATTCCTGTTAGTTTTGTTACTTGTAAATTTTGCAAAATTGGAGTTTTGTTAGTGAAATGGAAGAATTTTGGGAAGAGATACTAGGATAAAAATTGGAAATATTTATGCAGTTGCTGGCGTGTTATTTCTTATTCAGATATTGCTATTCTAATAGTAGTTATGTGATTAATGGTGCTTCCTGTGACATCATTTGCTTTTATTGCTGGGTTTGCTGACTGTGTAGTCCAATCATGTTATGATTTGCTGCAGTAATGGTCATGATTTTGCTGTCACTGATGCTGCCATGATGCCATTTAATCGGTTTTTGTTGTATTGCTTGAAGATTGTTCATGCAGTAGCTTACCTTTATGAATAGATATGCTATGGTTTTCATGCTAGAAATTTGTCGTCTTGCTGCAATGATTTTTTTGTATTTTCATTTACAAGCCTTTGTATCTCGTAATTTTCTTGTGGAAGGCTGATTGTGCTCTACAAGGGTTAATTGGATTGGGTTATTAGATCAATTGTGTTTTTGTTGTTTGAGTTTCTATTTGATGTGGATTTTACTTGTTTTGTTCTTTATCTTGGCAAGCTAGAGGGCAAATGCTGGGCTTAGTACTTACCATGTCCATAATAATTCATGTGATTCATGTATTGCAGGATTTTGGGAAATGTATGATCCTGAAGGATACTCACTCTGGTTTTGCGACTACAAGTACAATGATGAAAACACAGTTTCCTTTGTTACTTTGAACAAGGTTGGCGGATTTCTGCAAAGAATGGATCTTGCACGCAAGTATGCATTTGGGAAAATGTTGGTCATTGGTTCAGAGCCCCCATTCAAGGTGAAGGGGTTGTGGCTTTTCCGCGGTAAAGAAATCCCCAAATTTATCCTGGATGAGGTTTATGATATGGAGCTGTATGACTGGAAGGAGGTAGACATCAGTGATGAAGCCCAAAAAGAGCGTGTCAGCCAGATGATTGAAGATTATGAGCCTTTTGAGGGAGAGCCTCTGCTGGATGCAAAGTGTTTCAAATAAAATTTCAATGTTTTTTGGAAAGGGTACTGTATTTTGACGTATAGTCTACCATCATTTTTGCCTCCCAATTTCTAAGTCATTTTGCTTCCATTTCTAGAACAAGTATCATTCTCAGAGAACTCGGTGTTATTGTAGTGCTACATCCAGATTATGTTTTAGCTGTGTGTCTTATAGTTTGGGTTAAACTTGAAGACTCAAGGTTGAGTGCTAATGTATGAGTTATAATGGATCGTTTAACCGGTTCTTGTGGTTTCTAAAGTTGATTCACGTTAGCATGTTGTTTTTCTGGATATTTTGTGATTCGTGGAGGTCCGATTACTGCAATTACTGATTCTGTCTAGCAGATTACAGCACTTTGTCCTGTGGGATGTTAAATTCTTTGTCGCGGATGAATTGCATTGTCTCGTGATGCTGCCTCCAGTATATGCATATTTGGCTGTTTTCTTTCTTGGTGGACGATTAATCTGTCATTGACTCTGCGGTTGCTCCATTTTCTTCTGGTTTGAAATTGGTAATTTATCTTTAAATGCTTGGTTGGTGCCTTTTGACCTCTTGGTGGACTAGCGGAACGTAACTACCATGAAATACGCAGCAG